GAGCGATGTTTTTCAGTTGAAACAGTTCATTGAAACCGCAGCGCAATTCACAACGCTTCCGGCGAATCCCATAAAGTTATCGGCTGGATCCGCGTTCGGACGTTTGGTAAGGCTTTTTTCTGAAAGTGCTCCATGGCTTAATGAAGCTAGTCGCGGATGACTGCATTAGATAAATTCTATTGTCAACTCGCTGAGAGTAATCAAGGCATCTTGTTACTATTATTTTCTATTTTCGTTTGTTTTGAAGTTACCTGGCGGCTCGCCCTAGCTTTTTTGCTGTTTTAGGCGAAAGGCACCACCCTAAAACCATCGAGTTCGGAAGTGGAGTTTTTCATCACGGCGAGACGTATATCTCATAATGAATATTCAGTGACTTTCTCCAAATCGAAGCCAAAATCCATAAGGTCTAAGGTCAGTGCTTAGAAGTAATTAGTTGGTAAAATGTGAGCCAATAAAGAATTTGTTGATCTGAAGATTGAGGTTATGCTAAATTTTAGTCGAATCAAATGTTATAAATTTTAATCAGAATTGTTTAAGGTTGACACAACAGTTAGCCTAACGGCAAGTCTTTTATTGGATTCCGCTTCGAAAAATTCGTCAATTTTGGTAACACTCAGTGATTCTCAAATACTCAGTATCTCATGTGCTGGTGCAGTGAAGACGTTGCAAAGTTGTGATTCCGGTAAGTTATTATAAATTTATTTTCGAATATTGCGCATTGTGATTCAAGTAATTATATTATTTTTCCTTCTCACTGCTGATCTGTGTTATTTTTCGATGGCTGTGCACCTCCTTATTGCACATTACTTTCTTGGCATCAAGCGTCAGGCTTTAATTTCTGATGCTCAAATTCTACTACTTTTCTTTACGACTATTATTTTTAATTTAGTTTTTTTTTCCGATTTGTGTGAAAATTGTAATAGTTAACTCAGAGTTCATTCCCTTAGTGAGAACATACTTCTTCCGAAATTGGGTCATTTTAGTTGTAATGAGAGCTCGCCCAGCTGATCCAGCCTGTCCGAGTATGGTGGAGCTACTCGCGCCGCCAGAAGCGGTCGAGTTTGTGAGAAGGTTGGCGAACTTTTTCGTGTTCACCTCTCAGCTTTTTTTCTCTTTTGAATTTTACACCAAATTCTTCAGATGTGATATCTGTGAAGTGGATTTACACACGAAGGAAGCAAGTGATGCACACTTTTTGTCTGAGGATCACGAAACAGCTCAGGTAAGTCACTTCGCCGATTAATATTCATGAAATATTTGTGCTTGTGATTTAAAATTTTCAAGCACAATTCGTCACTATACATTCTTATTCCATTCTTTTTTTTTATTCAAGCTCACGCTACCCTTCCCTACCGCAAGTTACGATGCCATTGATCATTCAATGTTGCCTGCAGCCGCTGTTCCATTGCAAAGGTTTTTGATTAATTCATTCTTGAAGAACTTTGTTACTTTTTTTAGTCTTTTATTTGCAGTTGATTTGTTTGGTCTTGTTTCTTTTGCACATTTATGGTCGACGGACTACTTGAACTCGGTCCTTTAAGCTGCCTCACTCGACGCTTTCGTCTGCGCTCTCTCTCCTTATCAGCGGCTCATCACCACTGTGATCTCACACATTCAAACTTTTGCCACAATGCAAGTTGGCTCACCCACCTCAATTCTCTCCTATAAAGCTTAGTCCTAGGGCTCCCACCTCTTGCTTGGGATTTGGAGCGGGCCATGAGTGGTTCCTAATTGTCTGTGCCCTCCGCTATTCGTGGCAGGGCCCTAGAAGAAAGTTTAAGTAGTCCAAACCCGCTTCCACTTCTAGATTTATTAACAAAACCAAGCAAGAACAACAAAGACTAATTAGCAAACGTTCTCGAACTGTCCTTTCTGCAAGCGTCACCCCAAACTTCGTTGGTTTTATGAGCAGATGCAGCAGCATTCGGTGGAGCTCAATTTGTACTCATATAGCATGAGCAACCTTTCTGCTCGCAATTAAGCTCCCTAGTGGGACAATACATAGGTATTGTACATCGAAATGTACAACAGAAATGCGCGCTTCCAAAGCACATCATATCCTTCGAAAATGATCGGCAAAAAAAATAAAGAGCAATAAGCCTGAGAAAAAAAGCGGCGCCTCATTTCGCTAAGAAAATTATAAATGTCGGAGCTTTTCTTTAGATAAATTGTCTTTTGAAATGAGTAAAAGATCTTCGATGGAAGCAATTGAACGATAGTTTTCCGAGTTCTTCGAGAAACATTGTCCCGACGATTTTGAGATTGACCTTGAAATTGGGAAGAGTTGTACGTTGTTATAGCTAGTGAGCTCGCGAACTGCTCGGTTTTTTATCGGATAACTGTTGTTTTACGCCGCAGTCCGCGTTCCGAAGGTTATCACAAGAATGCTCGGTTTTTGTCTTTGGTCCATGTAAAGCCTATAGGCATGAAAGAAGAACAGTGGTAGAAGTTCTACAAAGTATAGCTCTATCAGACCTAACGCTCACAGAGATTGACGTTATAGTTTTTTTTTTTCTCTCTCAACCAGTTTTATTGTAGGAAGGACGAGCGTACAGACTTCACGTGCAAACTGTGTGGAAGAAAGTTTTTGGATATGGAACCCTTGGTGGCTCACATTCGATTGGAGCACGAACGCGATCACCCTCAGGGAATTACTCTCTCGCTGGCAAGAACGGCTCCATATACCTAGATTCCATGCACCTCACCTCTACCTCGAAGTTTCTTATTTTATGAGAATTCATTGTATCTCGTATTAACAGCTTTTCCTGTCATAGTGCATTACTGGTACTTCTATATTAAACGAGACTATTTGATCTTACCAGGAAGGTCTTTCAGGGCGTGACGAGCTTTTTGAAAACGGTCTTTTGCATGATATAGGGGCAGATGCGGGAACCACAGAACCATGTTTAATTTTTCCTGAACGGCCCTCTGAATACCAGAAAAGGGGTCCCTAGTTCGATTCCTCTTGGTGACAAATTTTTGCATTTCGAGTTGACGTTCCAAAATTCGCGCAAAATGGAGTTCTGATTGTTCTGGTTGGTTCTAACTCCATTTTGCGCGAATTTTGGCACGTCAACTCGAAATGCAAAAATTTGTTACCACGAGGAATCGAACTAGGGACCTCCTTTTCTGGTATTCAGAGGGCCGTTCAGGAAAAATTGAACATGGTTCTGTGGTTCCCGCATCTGCCCCTATATCATGCAAAAGACCGTTTTCAAAAAGCTTGTCACGCCCTGAAAGACCTTCCTGGTTAGTTTCAAATTGATAGTCTACTGAAATCTGTAGTTCTGGTTGAACTTATGATTGAGCAGGCTCAGTTTTAAGTTTTCTTGCCTTTTGCCCAGTTCTCCTTTCTTTACCCTTCGCTCAAGATTGAAAAGATTTATGAACTTTTCTGTTTGTTTGTTGATCTAATGGTTGAAATACAGAGCTTTACTACTTGATG